TTCTTGTCTTTTCATCCCAATTTTTAGTATACAAACAGCACTAATTAGTGCTCCCACTAATTAGGTGGCAGTGGGTCTCGTCATTAATGATGTGATGTTTTGGTCTTGGAGTTGTATTTTTTTTTTTTTTACTTTTTTAATGCATTAGTGCTATTAGTGGTGATATTTTTAGTGAGATGAATCATTGTTGTTTTTTTTTTTACACTAAGGCCTGTTTGTTTGGATGGATATAAGCTTGAGATTAGGTTAATTGTCTAATAATATTATTAATATGATATTTGGTTATACAATTGAAGTACGGACTAATTATTTTAAACTTAGGATACATAATCCAATGGATTCGTAATGTTAAGACTATTAGTTATGGGAATGCTAATCCAGTCCGCCCAAACAAACATGACCTAATTATGTCAATTATGATTTATTATAATCTTAATTAAAATATTATTTTAATTATAATTCAAGAGTTCTTTAATTATATATTAAGTATGTGGGGTTATAATTCATTTGTTTTTATAGTTATATATTATGACATTTATGTCATATTTGTTTGGACGGATTGGATTCAGTTGGATTAATATTCCTATCACCAATAGTCTTAGGGCTGCAAATCCCTTTGGATTGTATATTATATCCTGTGTTTGGATTGAGTTAAAATTATAAGGAGGGACTAATAATCCAGACTTGGGTTTAGTTATCCAATTTATGTTTCACCCCAGTGGGATTAAATAGTCTATCATATGTGAGATACCATATTTGAATAGATTGTTAGTCCCTATTTTAATTATTTAACCAAATATCAAATTAATAATTTTATTAAATTATTAATCTAATTTTAAACTCATATCCACCTAAACAAGCATGATCTAAAAATAATCAAAATCATAAATTACATATGATAGACAAATCAGTGGCAACCGCTCCCAATTTAGTTGACGGTCAAATCAAACATTCTTTAATATCTTGTACCAAGAGAAATCTACATTTTGCGCTTCTAAAATAAATAATTAAAAAGTTAATGGTAGCAAATTCAATTCAAATCAATAAATTTGTTCAATTATATTCCTTTAAAATTTATAGTAACCTGTCTAAATTAATAAATTTCTTTAAATAGATTATTCATTATCAATTCAATTAAAATTAATTTTACATGGATTGAATATGAACACCCATTGAAGCCCATTTAAATGGACAACACTTCTATTATCAATTCTAAAAAATTTTCTAAAAAATAAAAAATAGAAATATTTTTTAGAAAAAAGTTTTAAAATAAAATATGTTTTAGAAAAAATAAAAAAATAATTTATTTTTAAAAAAATAAAAAATATTTTAAATAATATATATATATATATTTAAAAAAATTAAAAAAAAATTAAAAAGAGAGCAAAAGAAAAAATAGATGAAGTAAATTGGTTAGTTAGGTTCATTTGTTCAATCCGTATCTAAGTCAACCCAGCCCGTTTAAACCCATTTATTAAATGTGCTAGTTTGAATTGAATTGATTTAAATATATAAACTATTTTGACCCGCCCAAACTTGCTCATACCCGCCCATTTGTCACCTCTAGAAGTTACAATTTTTTGTGATAGAAGTAATAAATATTTGTGGTGTATTATGATATTTGTAGTAAAATTATGAATAGTGAATTTATGTTATGCACCCTAAAATTATGAATGGTGATATTATGACATGTAATTTTTAGGGTATATTACACTTTGCACCCTTACACTTTGCACCAAATTTCACTTTAGTCCCTATACATGAAATTATGATAGTTAATCCCTTGCACTTCTGGTCAAATCACATTTTGGTCTCTACGCATAAAATCATGATAGTCAACCTCTTGTACTTTTGATCAAATTCCACTTTAGTTTCTACACAAGTGTCAATGTCCCCATTCTGTTATTCCATTATTTAAAACTTTAGCAGAATTCAGTCATGTGACTACGAAATTAGGGTAAGAGAAGAAAATCATTTTTATTTTCTACCAATACAAACTTTGTTCCAAATTTACATCAAATTATGATTGTATTAGGTTAAAACAAATGCAAATGTAAACAATTAAGAAAATGAACTAGGGGTTTTTCATAAATTGAAATCATGATACTCTGCTTTCCACAATAACATAGTTTTTTGTTTATTCCTATTTTTCTCTTTGATTTCTATGCTGCTTTTTTTTTGTTTCAAAAGTTCTATTTTCTTGTCTTTTCATCCCAATTTTTAGTATACAAACATATATATTATATAACTTTCACATGCTTATCACATGTGACAAAATGTGTATTGGCGGAAACTATAAATAATTTTTCTTTTTTATCCTCATTTTTATCCTCATTTCGTAATTGCATTCTTATCACATGACTGGATTCTGTTAAAGATTTAAACAATAGAGTAATAGAAAAAGTGACATTGATACTTGTGTAGAGACCGAAGTGAGATTTGACCAAAAGTGTAAGAGGTTGAATATTACGATTTCATGCGTAGAAACCAAAGTGAGAGTTGACTAAAAGTGCAAGGGATTGGCTATCATGATTTCATGTATAGGGACCAAAATAGGATTTGCTGCAAAGTGTAAGGGTGCAAAGTGTATTTTACCCTAATTTTTATTATGACACTTTGTGATTTTGTTATGATATTTTGTAATGAGAAAAGTTATGATTTTGTAGTGAAAATAATTATGATATTTTGTAATTTTTGTTACAAAATTTTGTAAAAATATTATAAAATGCATACCATATATTTATAGGATTGCGCACTCTCTATATTGTAATATGGAATGACTTATTATTTTGAATCATAAATTTGTAAAAAGCTATAAGGAACAAATGATGAAAAGTAATAGAATAGATAAGATGTTACCTACCCAATAAATAAATAAATAAATAAATAAGTAGATAAGATGATAATAATAAATAAATAAAGTAAATCTTTCCATAAATTACCATTTTTCTTTTTCTTATAATCAATTTTTCTTGTGAACTTTTGATTTTCTTAATCAGTGCCGTAAACTTTAACTTGAGTTCAAATTGACAGAGAGGCTAAAATGGAAGGAATAAAATAAAAATTTAATAAAAATACAAAAGGGTTAAGAACTAAAGTAATGGAACTAAAGTAGAATTTGGACAAAAGTGTAGGGGTGCTAACTACAATAAAGACTATTACGTGGTTGTTCTTTGTTACACTCTTTTTGGATCATGAGTCGAGAAAATAAAGAAAATGATTATAGTTTCTTACTTATGTGGACAAATAAAAAAACGACTGTGATTCTTACCTTCTTGTTTAGATGAACAATGATTGAAAGAGGATATATGTATCCATTTATTCTCACCTTCTTGTTTAGATGAACAATGAATAATTTTTTTGTAAAAGTAATTTTGATTTCTCATGCAATCTCATGTATCCTGAGGCAGTCGACTAGGGCACCTTCGACAATTCGTTAAAATGAAATGCCGAGAGAGGCCAATTGTGGAGGATAAAAATTCAAGCCCAAGGCCCAAGAAAGTTAAGATGCGGCCCAAAGCATTTTTACCCAACCAAGGCAAAGTCCAGGCCCAAGTCCTTAGAAAGTACAGTTGTAAAGAAAACAAGATCACGTGATAGGAGATTTAAATAGGATCGCTACTAGGAAAGAGAACCTTAAACATAAAGGAAAACCCTTGGATCAGATAGAAATCAACGATAGAGATCAAAACCACCAAAAGAAAGGATACAAAATCAACCAACTCTGACAACCCGAGCATCCGATAAGATAAATCCAACGATCAAGAATGAGTGCTGAAAAGGAAGAAAGAAAATCATTTAATGGCAAGACCAAAAATTAAATATCAAAGGAGAATTAAAAAAAAAAAAAAAAGAAAATGAGTGTCCATCTCGCTCTGGACGAAATACCAACTCACTCCCAAAATTTGCCAATCAAAAATATGGCTAGTGAAAATTTCGGCCACGATTTCAACGCTACCCCTGCGAACTCAGTGCCAATAGTTCTGCCAGATCCCAAAAACCAACAAGGCCAACTTACTGAACAACTAATGGCGGAAGTGGAGGCACTCAAAGAAGAACTACGCGGGACCCAAAGAAGGCCCGTTGAATGAGCCCGAACCGCCGATCAACAAAAGTGACCAAATCACCATCAGGTCGCAAGCCAGACCACCACCAGTAACCCCGATCGAACGCAGAAAAAGTGTCAAGTCACTCGAAGGGATTTTTCAGATAACCCGGAAAATGACCTAAGGAGCTGGCTTGATGGTCGAACCAGGGGCCATCTAAAATCTGTCAGATGAAAACTCTTCACAGATGATTTAGCAGCCCCTTTCTCCAGAACAATAGACAGCACAGATCCGCCAAAAAGGCTCACCCCACCAAAATTCAACTTGTATAATGGCAAACGGGACCCGACCAGCCACGTCCAACATTACACGCAGGCCAAGACGTTATGGAGCAACAATGGCCCGATCATGTGTCGAATGTTTTCCTCAAGTTTATGAGAAATGGCATTGTGATGGTACTACAAATTATAAGCTTGATCCATCAACGATTGGGCACAGCTGCAGCAAGCATTCCTCTCATGCTTTATCACTAATAGCTGGCCGTCGAAAGAAGTAGATACGGAGAGGCTACGAGGATATTCCAGTAGACGAAATCGATAAATGCAATGAACAACTGCAGTAGCCTCATTCAAGTTAGGATTGTTACCTGAGAATTGACTTCGACAATCTTTAATGAAAAAGCCACTGACCAATGTGGGAAGTCTAATGAGATGAGTTGAACAATACTGTAAGATTGACGCTGAAGAACCAAAACCTGTTCGGATCCCACCTAAGGCTCCACGAAAAGATGAGAAAAAATCTCCTGACAACAAAAGAAAGGAGCCTAACACAATCGCCGATCAGCCAAAAATACGAAAGGAGGCTTTCTGAGCACTTATCACCATCTTTACTGAGCCGATATATTGCTTGATGTCAAAAATCTAGAATGAACCCTACTTTTCTTGGCCGCCTCGAATGCTCGGTGATCCATTACTTCGCAATCGAAGACTCTATTGTTCTTACCATAAGGACTACGAACATCTCACAAAAGACTGCAAAGCGCTAAAGCAATTCTTGGAGGAATTGGTGCAAAGCAGACATCTACGATCTTATCTTGACTCATCCACAAATCGAAAGGATAATACCAGGGACAAAGCTGGGAAAACACAACCCACTATAACTATCAATATGATTTATTCGATTCCAACAAAAAGGCGTATAAGCCGGGAAGCAGCGCCAACACTCCGAAGAGAAATTATGTCCCTATTAGAGGTGGTTGCAAAAAGGGTTTGTTCATCAACAAAGATTTATTTCTCTAATGAGGATCTGACATGGGTCCATCATCCCTATAATGACGCATTGGTAGTAACAGTACAAATTAGGGAATTTGATGTCGAAAGGATATTGATTGACCAAGGCAGTTCAATAGAAATCATATACTATGGACTCTTTAAAAAACTAGGGTTGTCTCATGAAGCCCTACTCAATGTGGAATCCCCACTCTATGGCTTCAACTCGAGCCCAATATTCCCTTTAGGACACATCTTCCTGCAAGTCAAGGCCGGAGAAACAATCCACCAAGTCGAGTTTCAGGTGGTCAGCGTGCCATCTACTTATAATGTCATAATGGGTAAAACTTGGCTCCACCAAATGGAAGTTGTTCCATCTACCTTCCACCAGGTTTTACACTTCCCAGAAGCTAACACTGTCAGGACCATTCAAGGGGACCAGGCGATGGCAAAGCGATATATGGCAGTTTCTTTAACTCGGCCACTAGAAGTTCAGACAAATGATTCAGGAGAGGAAGTTGAACCCCAGATTGGAGCTAAGAGTGCCGAAAAACTCGAAAAAATACCAATTGATCCTGAAGATGAAGACATGTTCTTCCTCATAGATAAAAATCTCACCCTAGAAGAAAAAAGTCAACTGGTGGATTTCCTACTGTGATACAAGGATATATTTGCCTGCACACCTTATGAAATGGAGGGCACTGACCCAAGGTTGACAAGCCACAAATTACACGTGAGTCCAAACTTACGACCGGTGATACAGAATAATCGGAGGTCCATGCCTTAACATGTCGACGCCGTCAAGGAGGAGGTAGCTAAGTTACTTAAGGCAAATGCTATTTGGGAAGTTCAATATCCGGAGTGGTTGTCCAACACCATGGTCGTCAAGAAAAAGAACGGCAAATGGAGGGTGTGCGTAGATTTCACCCATCTGAACAAAGTATGCCCTAATGATAGCTTTCCTCTACCAAAAATTGACCAACTCGTGGATGCAACCTCTGGACATGAAAGAATGAGTTTTCTGAATACGTATTGAGGATATCATCAGATTGCGATACATCTGGATGATCAGGAAAAGACCTCATTCATCACGGAACCTTAGGTTATTCTGAATACGTATTGGGTTATTCTGTTACAAAGTGATGCCCTTTAGTCTTAAAAATGCTGGAGCAACATACCAACATGGTGAAGTATACATTGACAACATGGTGATCAAGTCAAAAAAAGCTAGACATCATCCCGATGACCTTCGTGAAACCTTTGAGGTACTTCGTAAGTACAAGATGAAGCTCAATGCAGAAAAATGTACATTCGGGGATTGATCGGGAAAGTTCCTAGGGTATATTGTCACTAATCGAGGAATAGAAGCCAATCTCGATCAAATCCAGGCATTGATCAACCTAACCCCGCCCTCAACTGTTAAAGGAATCCAAATGCTCACTAGGATGGCAACAGCACTCAATAGGTTCATCAGCCAATCCTCCGATCGATGCTGATCATTCTTCTAACTGACCAAGAAAAAGAACCGATTCAAATGGACCCCAGAATGCGACCATGCTCTACAAGAACTAAAGGCCTACCTAGCCAAACCTTCTCTACTCACCAGCTCCATCAATGGGGAAAGGTTATACTTGTACCTAGCAGTTTCCGATCATGCCGTAAGTTCGACACTCATAAAATAATCTTCAAATGGGGAAATACCAGTCTTCTATGTGAGCAAAACATTACTCGACGCAGAAACTAGGTACCTGCCCCTAGAAAAGTTACTCTTGGCATTGGAGGTTTCATCTTGCAAATTGCAACATTACTTCTTGGCTCATCCTATCATCGTTTATTCAACTTTTTCGCTTAAATGGGTCCTTTACCAATCTGACTTTTCAGGTCGTATTTCCAAGTGGGCTGTCGAGCTCAGACAGTATGATATTCAGTTCCGACCAAGGACTTCAATCAAAGCACAGGTTTTGGCCGATTTCCTAGCCAAATTTTCACCCAAAATGAGCACCGTGGAGAGTGAAATAGGAATCACATCCTTCGCCGACACCATATGGGTAATGCGTTGCGATGGGGCTAGCAACGCTAAGGGTACAAGGATTGGATTCGTGCTGATCACACCTCACCAAAAGACAATTGAAATATCTGCTCACCTGGGCTTTTCGGCTACTAATAATGAATGCGAATATGAAGCTCTCATCAATGGCCTCACGACTGCAAAAATGTTAGGCACTAAATCCGTAAGAGTTCAGTATGATTCATAATTGGTCGTCAAACAGATAAATGACGAGTACACGGCTATGAATGAATGAATGATAAAATATCTGGCAATAGCAAAAGTCGCGGCTGAGCAAATTCTTTCCTTCGAAATTCACCAAGTCAGGCGACACCAAAATAGCCATGCCTATGCACTGGCCACTTTGGCCACAGCAATTGAGTAGACAGAACATCGCACGATCGAGATAGGGGTCATTTCCACCTCTAGCATCACCAGAGAAGTTGTGTGCCCCATCCATTCTGATGAAAATTGGATGACCCCTCTCATCCGATATTTGTTTGATGGTATCGTGCCCCCAATAACAAGCAGACCCATCAGATTAGACTGCGAGCTATGCATTTTTGGCTGAGTAATTCGAAGCAGCTGTTCAAGAAATCCTATTTGGGACCCTTTCTCAAATGCCTACATCTCAACAAAGTCGCAAGTGTGTTGGATGAGATGCACGTCGGATCATGCAAGGCACATGCAGGGGGCAGATCATTAGCTTATCGGGTGATCACGTATGGGTATTGGTGGCCCCGAATGCAACGTGACGCACAACAGCCCATACAGAAATGTTTGCATGCTAAAAGCTTTCACCCATTATCTAACATCCCTCTGAAGAGCTCAATCATGTTTCAAGTCCTTGGCCATTCGTACAGTGGGGATTGGACCTCGTTGGACCATTACCTCGCGCTCCAGGAAATCTAAAGTGGTTAATCGTAGCCATAAATTATTTTACAAAGTGGATTGAGGCCGACCCATTGGCAAAACCTCATCACCAGGTTTGGAATACACAAGCACTTACAATTTGAACAATGATTCAAGTAGCAAGAATGGGGGATGTAGACGTGCCCCCGGGAACTCCTCGGCTTCGCGTTGCAAGGGCGTGAATCCGTTTTGTTCTCTAGCTACTACAGTTCGAACTCGTGTCACGGTTCTAAATCTAATCTCGCAAAGTGCAATGCAAGACTGATAAATCACCAAAGAGTCCAAATCTAGCAAATCATTTTGAAAAACTGATTTTTAGAAAAAAGTGCCAAACATGGACTGCTTTGCCAGATACAGAGTCGCCACCTAAATATTTTATTTTGGGGAAATTTAGGAAACCCTGACTCGTGCCTAAGGCCACGTGTCCGTCATCACCAAAGTTGCCTCGGCTCAGGAACTTGGGTACAAGAGGGGAAGGTCATGCAATGAGCACCCCCGCTCACCCGATCAAAGATCGGCTTGTACTAAGCATGATATTTTGTTTTTAAAAACACATGTGTTCTTATTCCAGTTATTAACCTAGAATTACTATGTGATGCGCACAGCATACAAGTATAGACTAGATCGCCTAAGTTGAAACAAAACATTACATGTTCGTTTGAAAACGGTTTGAAGTTTGCTACTCACAAGTAGACTAAAAATGTGGATTTCAATGAATTATTCCAATTCAAGCAATCCAACCTTCACCCACAGGCATTCAGGCAATTAATCAAATAAGCAGTTAGCCTCATGGCAAGCATGCTAACATAGCAACATTAACACATATGCAGTATGCTAAAGCGTAAACACTCACAGTGCACTCCGAGCCAAAACAGAGAACTAGTTAGAAATCATGCATGATCCTAGTTCATGTTAATATGGCTAATGCAACACATGCAAAAATGTAGCTAAAATAGGCTCAGCTATTCTAGAATGGCATATGAAATGCAACTTGATACATGTATTCAAATTGGAATTGAAACACAATGCAGTTAGTATGATGCGCCGAGCCCGGTGCATGCAAAACAGATGAATGGATGCACGCATGCGAAGCATAAGGTATGCTAATCGAAATATGCCCTAAAACTAACCATCGTAAGCGGTTAAGTAAAAGGGAGAAAGAAATGGAGGTTGGAAGACATGCATCACACTCACGCACGCTTATTACAACAGTTGGCCCTCTCGACGGAGGGTCCGAATAAGAAGCTAACTAGCTAATCTAAGCTAATTAAACTAATTATTACATCACAAAACCAATTAACTAACAAGCTAACTAATTAAGCTATTACAACACAAATTAAATAGTTAAACGTATTAACTAATTAAGTACAGAACCAAAGCATAAACTAGCTAAGCAAATTGGCTAAGTAAAGTGATAAATCAGGAGCCTCAGAGGGAGAAGAATGCATGCATGCTAGGTCGCCTCGTTCAGAAATCCGTCGCGATGCCCTGATTTGCCTCTGTTTGCAACTGTTCTCAGAACCTTGCACCAAGCTCCACAAAGCTTCAACTCCACCATGGGAACCTGTAGGAACATGGTCGACAACTTTCTGGAGTTGCCAACCACCGGCTGACCACTTTTCTTTGCTGCAGACCAGAAAAAGTGGTCGGCCAGCTAGTTTATCTGATCGGCCGACCAGTTGTTGCTGCACTTCTCCATTTTGCTGCAACAGAGAGCAAGAAAGGGTATGGCAATGTATTTACAAGATATGTGTGCACAACCACTCTCCCTATCATTTCATAAGCTCAAGGGAGTGTAGTTCTCGACCCTCGGGCCACCATTCACGCATCTCGATGCATGATGGCCGAGAAGCCAAATTGCACAATTCAATATAAAATGAATGCACACATAAACACATAAAGCCTAGAACTCTATCATGTATGATCAAGAGCGTCGGCGACCAAGAATTGTGGCACGTTTCATCACTTCAAGTATAAAACGTCCCTCGTTTCTCATGTTTGGACTAATACCCAATCCAAACAAATGCAATACAACTCAAGCATGCAAACATGCAATGCAACTACATGGCATATACAATGGAATGTAAGATGGCATGCACAAGGTGAAGAACATGGCATACACAATGCAAAGAACAACATAACATGTACAATGCAATATAACATGACATACACAATGCAATGCAACACGATCAACTTAACAAAGCTAATGACATGCAAAGAAGGCTAATGCATGCATACACAAAGCAAGACAACATAAGCATGCAACAACATGGCAATGTAAGCATGCAAATAACATGAAAGCAAACATGCTCAATGGACTTAAACCAAAATGGGCAGACCTCAATCATGCTCAAATCAGTGGTCATAACACCAAAACAAAGGCATGAAATGCAAAACAAAGCATGCACATGCATTGGCCCATCAACTAGGCCTAAGAGCACAACTCTCAAGAGTGCTCAAGAAGTGATAAACATGGGAGCATGACAACACTAAAGGCTCTGAAATAAGGTATGAAATGATGCCAAATCATTCAAATGACACAAGCAAGGCATGCTATGGTCCTTAAAGCATAAAGCTAGTAAAGAGGATCACATAGGAGGCATGCAAAACATGGCACAAATGCATGAACCAACCATAGACAGAGCTCAAATAGGTCTAAACAAAGACCAAAACATGCTAAGATGGGGGCTCAAATGCCT